ACATCAGATATAGAATATAGACAAATAATTTAATGTGTCTCTCTAAGTACAGCAAACCTCAGAAGGCATGGAAGCCAGTGGTAGACAACACAGTCAGAAGAGTGAAAAGACAGTGGGCTGGACAGATGGCTCTGAGGAGAAAGTGCTCCCTGAGCAAGTGGGGGTTCAGTGTTCAGACCCCAGAAGCAGGCAAAAGCCAGGCAGGTGTGCGTGCCCTCTGTAATCCCAGCGCACTGGAAGCAGAATTGGGGGCCCCTAGGTTAACTAGATAAGCTGACTAATTGGACTGCCCCAGCTTTAATGAGAGACTCTGCCTCCATAAACAAAAAGGATAGCGTGACTGAGGAAGACACTGATGTCAGCTGCAGGCCGACACACCCATGCGCATCCACACACATGCAAACGTGCAGTCACACACACGAGCAGAGCCAAAAGGCAGACTCGGAGGAGGTCTGCATGATACTGAAGCATCCAGAAGCTTACTGCTGTTAGTAGTTAATAGGTGCTGGGTTACTAATAGCCCAAACTATTAATAAGAAAAAGACAGCCCAGTACAGCTACAGGCAAAGGGTCTGGAGAGCAGCAACAGGTTGCTATAACAATCAGGTCGACACAAATCCAGCTTAACTCTTACGTATCAAATCCAGGGGAAACTCTGTTCGGAAAAATGGGAGTACTAACAGCCACTCTGTTCTTTATCTATGAGTGTTTGTATGATCAAGGAACCAATGCTTTATGTACTTTTCTGCAAATTTCATAATTGCTATCTATTAAAATATCTATAAAATATTCACTGAATCCAGACTTGAGATTGTGAGCCGGGGAAAATGCCTATGTTACATTGTTACATTTTGATTATAAAATAAACACAGTATAATCTCATTATTTTTTAAATGTTAGTGTGTGTGTCCAAAGTTGGCTCCCCATATTTCACCCTTTTAAAACATCTAGAACTAGCAAACAAAAATGAAAAAGCATTGCCTACCCACAAGACCTCTGTGAAATGTTTCCCAGGGAATTTTAATTTTCCTCATGGTTTCTCTCTCTTCTTCAATGTTGGTAATTAACATGAGAATTATTTAGTTACTCTCACAAGGTAAATAACCTAAGGTCAAATAGGGTGTCTAATGTGTATCAGGGAACCAGGTAATCCCTGCCCTCTTCTCAAGTGTGCTGAGTGGGAGGAGCAAGGGGAAGAAAGGGTGAATGTGGAGTCCCTCAGTGGTGGCCCTGAGGGCCCCAGGACAAGAGTCAGACGGCCAGTCCCCAGTCCCACAGACGGAGACTTTGGCCCACTCCTGACAACTCAGCCTGAATTTTTCACTCCATTTCCTATTATGAACTAATTATGAATTCTTAGTCTTCTAAGAGAAGTTAACCGTTGCCCAAGTCAAGGAGGCTATTGAAAATATCTCTGGAAAGATAAGCCACGTGGTGACTCGGATCCCAGGAAGAGCCCTGGAAGAAGATCGAAGGGACTTTCCGTTGCCCACGAGTGCTCTCAACAGAAGACGGACACCCAGAATTTTCAGGGTTTCCCTGAAGACAGCTGGGCCACCAAGTTACTATGAAACCATCCCTGCCGTCTTCCTCAATGCCCCAGACTTCCAGGAATGCAGAAGTAAAGCCACACATGCTCAAAATGCTTATCCTTAACAGGCCGCACTCTTTCTGCAAACATAATGAAGAATCCTGGGGCCACAGCAGGAGGGAGTCAATCTCCTCTTCCAGAAGAATGGGCTCTGAGGGCTGAGGACAAAGGCAGCGACGATGGCAAGCCCTCCCTAACCTTTTCTTTCCTAAAGTTTTCAACAAGTATAGGGCTCCAATGTCCTGCTTACCCAGTCTGCCGGTCTCTCGGTGGGCTACACCTCTTGGAAATGTGCCAAGGGTAATAGGATTTTCTTTATAAAGTCCACCATTTAAACCATGTGTCTTCAAAAATTAGGATACTGAAGACGATGTTCCAGAATCGCTGGCCTCAAGAGTTACTAATGACTATCCCGCAGAAATTTTTAACTGAAATCATGAAGACATATTTCAAAGAAAGAAAGAGGGATAAAAAAGACAATTTTTGAAAGAGAAGAGATGAAATCAGCCATCTGAGAGGAAAGGAAGTTGGACACCTGTGCCTACAAAGCAGTCTCGCCTCATCAAGGAGAAAGAGTTCAGAACCAGGGAGCCTGGGACCAGGCTCAAAACAGAACAGGGGTTCTGCTGTAGACAGGTCAAGATAAGACATCGGAGGGGAAGTCCAAGTGGCGGCAGAAGCAAGTGAACACAGATGGGCTGCTTCATACTGAGTAGAACACTGTATTCTGCTTGTTTAAGTGTCTGGGGCTGGGGCAGTGGTTCCTAGGTTAAAAGTGCTCATTGCTTTTCTAGGGGACCAGAGTATGGATCCTGTATTCCCTTCAGAGAGTTCACAATCACCTGTTACTCCAGCTCCAAGGGATAAGCAACCCCTCTCTGGTCCCCATGGGCACTTACATGCACAGCATACACACAGACACACACAGACACACACAAACACACAAATGAAAATAAATGTTAAAAGTAGCTACTTCTGGGAATGAAGTTACTTTTCTCTGTGGTGGACACACGGGCCCTCTGAAGAGTCATTTCTCTCCTCAGAAGTGACATTCAGAACTTCAACTCTAAAGGCCCAGCTGAAGAAGGCTCGCTTTAGTGCTTAGGGCCAAATTGGTTTTCTTTGGCAACTGTTTTTACTCACAAATGTTAACCACAAGAAGACACCTGGTTGTCAGCTTTTTTTTTTCCCACTAAGTTTTAAAAACAGTCTGAATTTAGGTTTCATGTCACTGACAGGGGAGCCAGGAGCAGGGAGACTGGCTTCTAACTGCGCATCCCTGACTCTCAGCTCCAGAGTGTCTTCCAAGTCTTCCCTTTGTTAGCAGACTTCGGTGTTGGGATATGTATATATATATACACATATCTCCTTGATAGAGGAGAATGGGAAAGCCTTGATCCTGGAGGAAAAGCACACAAAAGGTGCTTTTCTTTTTAAACAGATCCTGGCTGCAAGACCTAGTTCAGGAAGGTTGGATGAGAAAGGTGTGCCGGGCGAAAGTTCAGGCGGGCAGGTGTTTAACATCTCTTGGGATTGAAAGAGAAAGACAAGCGAAAATCTTAGCAGAATTCAGACTCTACCAGGAAAGCCTATCCAACTGTCTTGGTTACGTGCTGTTGGCTTAGAATGTCGTGGATGCTGTGAGCGGCGCCTGACTTGGCAGAGCTCACAGCCCACTTAGAGAGAGCTGCATTCTTCGTCCCTTGTACACACAATGCCCGAGTTTGCACCCTGATACCCACAGGCGATTTTTCCACCTCTTGTACCACCCCACTTCCGTTCTCAGTTTACAGCAACCATCTTGTCTCCCCACCCGTATTGGACAGCCAGACACCTGCCTGTGGTGTATATTCACATCTGCAAGCCTTCAAAAACGGTTTCCACGAACATTTAGTCTGTGTCCTTCAGCAATGTACATAGCTTCTGAGGACACAGAATATGTCAAAAACCATTCAAGCCCTGAATGCAATGTGTTGGGGAAAACAACATCGAACAAAAATAAAACCGAAGGCTATGCTTCACACCCAACATGAGCACAGACATTCTCCAGGCCAGACAGAGGCGTGAGCCCATAAATCCACAGGCATTTGGTCCTTGGTTTCAAGGACAGTGCATTTAGGGAGAAGACAGAGAAGTGGGTACACTTCTACTCATGTGACATATTAAAAATAAACTCCTTGCTGGGTGGTGGTGGTGCACGTCTTTAATCCCAGCACTCAGGAGGCAGAGGCAGGTGGATCTCTGTGAGTTCAAGGCCAGCCTCGTCTACAAGAACTAGTTCCGGGACAGGCTCCAAAGCTACAGAGAAACCTTGTCTCAAATAAAATAAAATAAACTCCTTTACTTTCAGAGAGGAGTTTACAGATTGTATGACACTGGCCATTTTGATGTGACATTCACAACTTGTTACAGTTGTCAAAGCTGCACCATTTTTTCAGGGATGCATATGTATTTGTGTACAAGCACCCGTGTGCACACGTGCTGTGCATGTGGGGACAACCTAGTGAGCCATCTTCAGGAACAAGGAGGCTGGCTGGCCAGTGAACTTTGGAGGTCCTCCTGTCGCCTGCCCTTCCAGCGTTAGGATTACAGGCGCCAAGTACTTTTACCTGGGTGTTGAGGCTCCAACCCTGTCCTTGAGAACCCACCAATGTTGTTTTATAATTCAAAATTGGTCTCTCAAAGGTCTGGGAAATCTATGCCACCCTTGCAGAAAGTTCTCCACTCAGGCGATCATCCCAGACTAAATAGACTCCCTTCTGATTCGGTTTTCCTTGCTGACCTGGAGAGCACCCTGCTGGGAAGGCAGGAGCCGCTCCTGGCTGCCTTAGAAAACTTTAACATCCCACCACTATTTGCTTAAGAGCAGCAAGCAGGAGCCAAAGGCCACTTTGTCCTCACCTCAACTGAGCTGCTGTAGAAGTTTAAGCACATAGGAGGGGCCACTTGGCAGAGCCATCTGGCTTGACTGAACGATTTTTCATAGCGCTGAGGAAACCAGGGTTGACCACACCGTAACCCTCCCACCTAAGAAAAGGCCTGTTTGTTCCGGAATGTAAAACCTGGCCTTATTTAACTAAGTGCAAGCAGTTAGCGTGGGCCTGCCCAAGGTAGTAAGAACAGTCCGGTAAAGCCAACCAGGATCCTTCAGCCAACCAGGATCTTTCAGAATACTGTCTCCAGAAAAAGCCTCACCAGGACTTTAACCTGAAAACATCTGATCTCTCTCCGGGTCCTTTACCTGGGGAAATGGTCAGGTTGCAGGACCAACCCTTTCCCCACCTTCGGAACTTTCCAGGGCTCTGGGGAACAAGAAGGAGTTGGAAAGCGGACCCACTGCGCACCCATCTCCCGACCCTCGGGATAGCATCCCCCAGTTGGAAGTCTGGAGGTATCCAAAACCTCTTACCCTCGCAGCCAGCGCTCTCATTGCAGCCCCGGGGCCGCGCGGATGCGTGAGCCCTGGTCCCTACGCGTGGCCCTGTTCTCCCGCCAAGCCCCCGCGTCCCCACCGGCTGCCGCTGCCTTCCTCCAGAGCTGGGCGACCCGGGAGCTGCTCTGCCAGTGTCGCGAAGAGCTTTAACTAAGCGACCGCGAGCCGGAGGCAGGAGGCAGAACGGGGAGCAGGTGTGGGCGCAGGGACACCGCAGCTGGGGCAGTCCCGGAAGGAGATGACGCTGGAACCCAGGAGGTCACAAGACGTGGCGCCCCGGGGGAGTACAGACCTGTGGTGGGTGTCCCAGTCCGGGTCCAGGGCGCGGTTCCAAGCAGGCAGGTCCAGCGTCTCCTCGCCTCCAGGCATGGCGCGAGCGCCACCGACGTGCGAAGCCTCCATCCCCCACGATCCCCACAGTTCTGACACCCGGCTCCGCCTGTGGGTGTCTGCGGGAGGCAGGCGGAGGAGGCGCCCTTTATAAAGGGAAGTCGCCCAGGGAGCCTGCTGAGAGGCCTCCCGTTGTCCACCCCGCCCCGGTCGCCCCGCCCGCCCTCCGCCACCCCGCTGCCCTCATCCATTCCCTGACCTCTCCAAGATAGTGTCTGACCCCTTTCACATTTGCTGCATTTCTTTTGAGCGCGCTATGTGGCCCGGACTCGCCTCAAACTCAGACCGATCCTCCTACCTCGGCCTCCTAAGTACTGGGATTACAAACACGTGCCACCCACGCCTGGCTTCTCCGTTTCTTTGGCCAGTTCTATTCTGCCGTGTTAAGTGCCCATACTGTGTTCTACGGGATGAATACATTGCAGTTCCTCCGCCTAGGAGTCAACAAGTTCGTGGGGACGGGTTTCTTCATTACAGAGTCTTTATTCTGATAATTTCCTGACAGGCAGTGGAATGACAGAGGTGTTGGACAAGCACGTGGAAAACAAGACACGAGGTGGACCTTCTTCAGCCAGAGTCTGCACGACCCCTGCAAAGCCAGAGCAGCAGACCCCAGCGGTACCCTGCCCTTCCCCCTTGCTGTCTGAAACCTGGAGCTTTGAGATGACGACTCTCCTCCATTCGTGAACCACACTACAGTGCTCCACCTGAAGCTGGCAGGACGTTTTGGACAGAACAAGCCCAGAACTTCAACAGGAGCCCGCTCCGTTTCCAGGCTATGCGCATCAGTACGTGTTCAGAAGGTCCCCAGGGTTAGCCAGGGCAAAGGGCAGTTTGCAGAGGATTCTGTAGAAACAGTTGTACAGAAAGACGGGTGTCGAAGCATTATTGACCCTTTCTGCAGGGGCAGGGTTGTTGTTGTTGTTGTTGTTGGGTTTTTTTTTTTTTGGTTTGTTTTTGTTTTTAATTTTGAGATGGCCTCATGTAACTAACCCGAGCTAGCCTCCAACTTGCTACAAAGCTAAAGAAGACCTTGAACTTGTTCCTCCTGCATCCACCTCACATTTGAAGCTGGCGTTAAGGCTTATTCCAGCCTCATTCTGCCCCCCCCACCCCCGAATCTACCCTCTGTTAAAAGTCACTTCCCAAGGACGATCAGGTCAAAATATCACACACACACACACACACACACACACACACACACACACACACACACACACAGCTTTTCTTCTTCCGGAATTCCTCTTAGCAGGAATGCCCACTGGGTACAGCGAGCCTGGAGAGTCTGCCTGAGAAGTCACAGTGCCCACCATACCGCCATGTTCAGGATGCTGTGCCCTACCCGCAGCAGAAATGACAAGATGGAGCCAGCAAGAGAGTTGAGGAAGTAAAGGTGCTGGATAGCCGGTCCTGAGGCTGACTCCAGGACCACATGGTGGATGGACAGAGACAGTAACCTGTAGGGGGAGGGGGAAGGTCAGAGAAGTTTTTACTTCTCCAGAGTCACCCACAGAGCAACCAGCAGGTCCAGTCTTTCTACTTAGGTCTTTGATTCCCTAAAACGTTTGCTCTTGCTCCATCCAAGCACTGGCAGGCACATCATTAAAACAGTTGCTGGTGATCAGTAGCTTTCCTCATCCGGATGAGTTTCTCCAAACAGATTCCCATCCCACCTACGACAATCTAGAAACTGTTTCGCAGGTGGAGAAAACATGCATTTTCCTAAATAGTTATAAAAGATACATTTATCTAGACATGTCTTCCCAGCCATTTCCAGGAGACAGGACCTCACACCTGACTTCCTAGCATCTAGTTCTTGCTACCCTCTCTTCCAAGGTCTTCCCTGAGCAGTTGGTTCAGGAGTATCCAATGCAAAACAGTCAGCCCTGAAATCATATGTGCAAACGCCATGCTTATATCAACCAGACACAGGGAGAGATACAATAATCAAAATGAGGTCATCCATTTCAGAAGGAGTGAGGTGTGATATGGGAGGGGTCAGAGGAGAAGCAAAAAAAGACAGAAGTGATGCTATAAGGTGTTCTGATCTGTTGAACCATCTCTCCCATCCTGCAAATTCCCACAGAGCGCTGCAAAGGAGGAGTTTTCCAAAGGAGGGTACTGGGTCTCAGTCCTCATTGAAGCATGACTCCAGCCTGCCTCACTGGGAACAAGCAGTGCTCTGCACCCTCAACTGGAAGACTCTACCCATGCAGACAGCGCACCTGCTGCCCTTAAAGTAGCAAGGGCCCCAAAGCAACTTAACCTAGACATAGGAAGGAGCTGTGGAAGAGGAGAAAGACAGGAAACAGAATCAGATGGCTGGAGTGGATGGCTACCAGGTACACTGAGAGACATGAATTACCATTTCCAGGCAGCCAGGGGAGCCACTCTCCATGGTTAGTTTACCAAGATCTCTTATTTACAGTGAAGAGCCTAGCTCGCCTCTCGTTGGGCAGCCACGGGTATTGCGTTGTGCTGTGCCAGTCATTCCAATCTCAGGTTTCTGCTCTGCATACCACACCTCCAAGTTTGTATCATAACTCAGTTCTGTCGTGACCAGATATCTTTGTTCAACCCTGCACTATGTATCAGATGACATTGCAGGTTTACCAATCACAGTCATGAGTTTCTCCAGTGGGTTTCCTTCTCAGAACAGTTTTATAAAGTCACAGATGGAAGGAATTCTTTTAAAGTCCTCTAGGAAGTGTCAGCCAGGGTAATGGTAGACCTGAAACAATTTTATAAAACAGTAATCCAAAGCAATATCCACTGGGAAGTCAATATGCGGACGGAGCACAATAAAACAATAGGGAAATTGCCTTCTGTTTATGTGGTTTCACATCCTTCTGATTTTCGTTGATGGGCAAGTAAGTAGGCTTTGAACTTTCTAGACATTAGTCTTTTGCTGGTTTGAAACACTGTAAATATATTATTTTGTCTTTAATCTCTGAACTAGGTCCTCCTTGGCCTAGGTCTCTCCGTTTGACCTTGGAAAATCAGCACGATATCTATCTATATGACCCAAGCGTCTCTGATGTCAGTATCTATCCTTATGATATGAGCATTTATGATGTTGGGAAGGAAGTCTACTCAAGAGCCACAGGTATTCTGCTTTCTCTGTAGGAGCTCGATTTTATCTGCCATATCAAATTCTCTGTGCTTCAACTTCACCTATGGTGGGAGGTAAGGACGGCTCAGCTGACTGCAAGAAACAATCAGCTCAGCAAAAACAGCCTGCACCCTGGGTTTGGTGACCTTTCTGGCAGGGGACAGACGCTGCTCTGAGCTCTGTGGTTGGTGCTGCCTCTGTGGCAATTGATGTGTGATATAGACATTGGTACAGACAAGAGACAGGGAAACAAACAAGAGATGGGTCTGTTTCTCCAGTCGTGGAAATATTAAGCTTTTACAAATAGATTTTGTTTATTAGAGCAGATATAGGTTCAAAGTGAGATTGAGCAGAAAGCACAGAGGATTCCCATAGGCCCTCTGCCTCCCCCACAACCCACCTCCCACCTTGGGGTCACCGACAGTCTGGAGATCAGATCACAGAATATGCTCTCACTGGGCAGCAGATCTGCTGGCGCCCTGACTTTGAACATTCCAGCTCCCCAAACTGTGGAAAATAACTGCTTATTGTTTGGTTTAAGCTACTGGAGCTACACTCCTGTGTCATGGCAGCCTGAACTGCCTGATGATGCTTGTGTACCATCTACTAATCCCCCATCTCCTGTAACCCCTAGGCACGATGGATCTTTCTACTATCTCTGTTTTCCCCTTTTCTAGAATGCCATGTGGTTGGAATCCAACAGTGTGTAGCATTTTCAGGCTGACTTCATTCACTTCATGATACCGGCTTAAACTGCTTTCATGTCTTCTCATTGGCAGCTAACTTGGGACTGAATAGAATTCTACTGAAGGGACATACCACCAGGTGCTGATCCATCCTACTGGATGAATATACCACAGGGTATTGATCCATTCTACTGGACGGATATACCACAGGGTATTGATCCATTCTACTGGATGAATATACCACAGGGTATTGATCCATTCTACTGGACGGATATACCACAGGGTATTGATCCATTCTACTGGAGGGATATACCACAGGGTATTGATCCATTCACCTCTTCAAAATATCTTGGTTGCTTGCACGTGTTGTAAATTTTGAAGAGAGTTGCTAAAATCATCTGTGTTGGCGTTGTTTTCCTTTGTTGCTTAAAGCGAACACGCTTCCAACTCCTTTAGCTAAACACCGAGAAGCACCAGTGTTTGTTAGCTGCTAGACTGCATGCCACGAAAATACAGTTTTGTAGGAAACTGCCCTTATTCCAAATGGACTATAACACTTTGAATTCTCCCCAACAATAAACAAGATTGTCACTTCCCATCCTTACCAAGGTTTGGATTTGAAGGGCTTTGACTTTTGACGTATTGTAAAGGCAGGCAGGAGATGACTTCATCTGCAGTTCCCCAGTGTCATGTGACGGTGACCCTCTGTGTCGCAATCGTTTGCCACCTGTCTGTCGTCTTTAGTAAGGCATTTTTCAAGTTATTATATCCACTTTAAATGGGGAGTCTGCTTTCTTATTGTCAAATTCTGAGGTCTTTGTATATTATATTGGTGTATATCATTAGCTCTGGCCTTTTGCAAACATTTTCTCCTACTCATCTCTTTTTCCTGTTGGTACCTTTTCCAGAGCATATGCTCTGTGAGTCTGAGGCCAGGCTAGTTACATATCAAGTTTCAGGCAGGTAGGACTACCTACGTAGTTAGAGTTTGTCTCAA